TTCGCTGGCTGGGGAATTCTGGGAGTTGAAGTCCAGACATCTTCAAGTTGACAAGGTTGAGAAACACTGGTCTAGGCTACTGAAAATGTAGAATACAGTATTCATTTGATCTTGAGTACAGCAAATAAAACCGTGGTTGGTTAATGCTTGGAAGACCATATACATAGTAAAAGTATTTTATTTGCATTTACACACAAATGATGGATCCAATCAAAAGAGACTATTGAGGGGGAAAGGACAGAGAATACATCAAAAGCTTTTGCATATCACAAATTGTAGAGTTGAAAAAGATCACAAGGATCGTCTAATTCAGTATTTCTCAGCTTCGGCTACTTTGTAAGATATGTGAACTTCAGTTCCCAGAATTCCCCAGCTAGCATTCCCCAACCAGCTGGAATTCTGGGACCTGGAGTACCAACACATCTTACAAAGTTGCTGAGGTTGAGAAACACTGATCCAGTGTTCAACCCTACAGCAGCTGCACAAACCGCTTAGATTTGGTCCACTAGGCACAGAGACAACTTATTTTTCTTCAAAACAGACAGAACTTCGTTTTTGCTCAATGTTTTTCTTCAAGGTTTCAGAATCTTTCTAGCTTCTTCATGGATTTCTGGAAGACTTGGGGAATATCTGGTAAGGCCTGCTTGAGCTGTGTTCAGCATTTCCACTACCGAGGAAAAGAAGAAGGGGAGGGGGAAATAACCCCCAAGGTTACAGCATACTTTGTACACCTACAGAATTTAATTTTTCACTCCAGGCAGGAAAGGAATCCTTGAAGAAAAGGCATCAAAGCCGACATGCGTGACATCCAGTACTGATAATCAAGCAGCTCTAGCAGAAGTGTCCAGCCTGAGGGTGAAGGCTGCACGCAGCCCTGCGAAGTCTCTCCATACACTTAATTATTAATTTTAACATAACAGAATTAGAAAAAATATTAAATATATGAGGAAGGCATTCATGAATTTAACTGAAATTACTGTATGTTTGGCTACCTATTTAGCAATAGCAATAGCAATAGCAGTTAGACTTATATACCGCTTCATAGGGCTTTCAACCCTCTCTAAGCGGTTTACAGAGTCAGCATATCGCCCCCAACAACAATCTGGGTCCTCATTTTACCCACCTCGGAAGGATGGAAGGCTGAGTCAACCTTAAACCGTCGAACTGCAGATAGCAGTCAGCTGAAGTGGCCTGCAGTACTGCACTCTAACCACAGCGCCACCTCGGCTCTTTAAATATTTCCAAAGGCTTTTTTTTAAAAAAAAAAATTCCAAACGCTTCCTTTACGTAGCTGCCCACCAATTACAGAGCCGAGGTGGCGCAGTGGTTAGGGTGCAGTACTGCAGGCCACTTCAGCTGACTGTTATCTGCAGTTCAGCGGTTCTAATCTCACCGGCTCAAGGTTGACTCAGCCTTCCATCCTTCCGAGGTGGGTGAAATGAGGACCCGGACTGTGGGGGCGATATGCTGACTCTGTAAACCGCTTAAAGAGGGCTGAAAGCCCTATGAAGCGGTATATAAGTCTAACTGCTATTGCTATTGCTATTGCTACTGTTTCCAGCCTTACCCTGTGGCCTTCGAGGCCAAGGCAGAGCTTCTAGAAAGTCGAGCATTAACTTCAATGATGCAGTACTCCAGAGAGGTGGGATTTAAGGCATACTGGATATTACACTCTCCCACAATGTTCAAGTGGCGGACAACGTTGATGGTGGATTTCCGTAGCATCTGTAATTCTTCATTTGAAAGGGTCTGGCTGGGAGCCACCACAATAGAATCTCCTAATATTGAAGAAGAAAAAGAATTGGATAGCAGTTATCATGACTTAACCGTGCAAGATTTGGTCTCTATTAATGCTAGAGACATATTTTAAGCCAATAGATTATTAATAAACTTGCACAGAACTAAAATGCATGGGAATGAATGTACTAAGTACTGGAAGCAAATTTATTTATTTGATACAATTTAAAATAAAATTTAAATTGAGCCTTTAGAAGTAGACAACGTACAAATAACATACATATACCTTTGCATGCACACATGCATTATAAGACACATTAAGTAGAAAGATGGTAACATGCTGACCAACTCTTAACTATCTTTTGTTTCTTTGTATTTTGAATTCCACATAATTTTGATGAAACTGCATCTGTAATAAAATAACTGCATTCTACTGTATATATGTACCCACCTGTTGCAATAATACTCCGGATGAATGAATTATTCCTTACAATTTCAAATCTTTTCAAGATTCCTTGAAGCTATTGAGGCATATTAGATTTGTGCCAAGTATTTGAAAGAAGTGATTCATGAAATTCGGGAGTGCATTAAAAAAAGACTTTTTTGTAATAATTAAAGCAGCTTTTTCATTTATATACCTCAAGCAAAACAAAGCTCAAGCTTGCAAACAACATGGCTGTTTTAACAAGTCAAAGATTAACCAACCCTCTCCTATCCCTATCTGGCAATCTCTGAGGTCAAAACGTCCAAATTTTGGAAAGAGATGGTTCTGGAGGTTAAAGGGTTCATTTGGTGTTAAGACTGGATTAGAGATATTGGATCAATACTATAGTCCCACAGATGTCAGAACTAAGCCTGGGACTCCAATGACAAAGTTTTAAATAACAATATGACAATGAGCTAAGCAAACATACCTGTATGAACTCCCATTGCATCAACATTTTCCATATTGCAGACAGTGATACAATTGTCGGCTGCATCTCTCACAACCTCATATTCAATTTCCTTCCATCCTACCACTGATTTCTCCACAAGAATTTGATTGGTCATTGCAAATGCCTTGATGATTATAGCAAAGAGAGAGTTGTAAAGATTTATAGTTCTGCTAAAAAAATTAACATTTCTTAGTGCTCTCGAAACATAGTTGCTGTCAAAGGGCCATTTCTATTAATAAAAAACAGACTTGCAAGAACAGCTTGGCTGTTAATGCACAATACTTTCAGTGAAATTTTTCAAAAAACCTACTTATCATCATGAAACATAGGATGCCACAAACAAGACTTTAGAGTGTGGATGGACACTGCAGGGAGCATGGAAGGTGGTGTGGGTAGGGACAGACAGATGTTCTTTTTGAGTGCCACTGTAACTTTGAACGGTTGACAGATAACAGTCAGCTGAAGTGGCCTGCAGTACTGCACTCTAACCACTGCGCCACCTCGGCTCAATATTATCAATATTAAAATGTGAAAATGGATAAATGAATTTTCAGACTCAATTTGCTAGTTGCTTAGAAAATACATGGGCTAGGGTAAAAGGAAATGTAACGCTAGTTTCCTCTCTAAATTAACTTTTTTTTTTTTAAAATCATTTGAGAACATTCTATTCAAACCATTGTTATTACTTTGGGGTGTTTATTTTTAAATAACTTCCAATTTTACATGTGTTTCTTGTTACCGTGCTTTATTATGATACTTATGGCAGTTTTTATATCTATCTTATAGAATAATTATTTATTTGTTATAAATTACAGTTATTTATTTTTTGATTAGTTACAGTTATAAGGGTATAGTTATATACATATAAGTTATACTTATAGGTTCTTATTTAACTTAAAATAGCTGTAATAGAAGTAATGTCTAATGTACAGACCTATTTTTTTCAGTATCTGATGGATTTAAATCAGTGTTAGAGTTAATTATTATATAATTATTTATATAATTGTATAATAATAGTTATATAATATTGAGTATTTACACTAATATTCGGATGGTGCTTGATGTTCCTATCGTATACTAACATAGGTGCCGAAATTGAATTTTCAGTGTACGCACTGTCATGAGCCAACATATGGCTTATGAGACTCCCTGCAGTGCCCTGATTTCTACCTTGGATTTATGTGTTTCATTTATTAAATGTTTATGCTGCCCATCTCCCCTGCAAGGTGACCTTGGGCAGCTGACCAGGTGACTCTGGGCAGATCATCCTCAAGTTTCAGATGTGATACCAAAATACTACCAAAGACCCACCAGAACAATACCTTGGTAGCAAGATCCAGGAGATGCTCCTTGTCAATGCATAAACCTGATCCTAGTCCTCCCAAGGCGTAAGCTGAGCGGATCATAACAGGGTAGCCAATTTTTTCTGCTGCTTCCAAGGCATCTTCTGTCTGCCACAACACAAAAATGAACAGAAAACAAGATAACAGTAGATAGAAAATCTCTCTGCATCATTGAATTACTGCATAATATGCTATATTATGGGGATCTACAAGGGGCTGCCCATGAAAAGTGTTCAGAGACTACAATTAGTCCAGAATGCAGCCGCGCGAGCGATACTGGGTGTACCTAGGTACACCC